GAATTTGGAACAGAGGGAAGCAGGTGAGGCACAGATCCTTCATAAGCTGTTTTGCTTCCACCAGGAGAGGGAGAGTGGGAGCTGTTGGTCTTGGTTTGCTTTTCCTGGAGGAGAGGAATAGAGTTTGCTCTCTGGAGGTTTGTCTTTGGAGCTTGTGTGTGAAAGGCAGCACCTTCCGCATTCAAAAGCAGGAAGCATTTTGCATTTTCAGTTGTTTGCTTGTGAAATTTTTTCTTTGTTTCTTCTATGAGGCTGTTTTTACATAAACAGCAGAGCCTCGTGTAGAGCACCTTACCCTGCCTCTCCCTGTTCTGTGAGCAGCCTGGGCATAATTAGGACATACAAGACCCACTATGTACCCATGAAACAGGCACCACCTTTCAGCCCATGCTGTGTTGAATAAAACAGGGCAATGCACGCAGAAGGTGAGAAATGTGCCTCTGACCTAGGGTGTCCATCCAGCCTCAGTCTCTGCTCCAGAGACTGTAACAGGAGGGAATGTCTTGGGGCCCCAGTTCCTTTTATAGTCCCTTCCTCCAGCACACCTGCTTTTTCATCCTGTTTTTAGGGGATGCATCTCTCTCAGGCATTTGCATCCTTGAATTTACCTAATCTCCTCTTGAACCTGCAGATACAGCATCCACAACATCCTGTGACAGCAAGCTCACAGCTTTGTGTACCTCCAGATTCTGGTGGGTGTTTGGCTGCCACCCTGAGTCAGTGGCTTCAGAGACCCAGCAGTGAGAGCTCAGTGTGTCTCAGTGAGTCTGTAGGGTGTGATGGGCTGGCCGTGCCTGGGCACACAGCTGGGTACTGCAGCCCCCTGCACCTGCACCACTGGGCTGTGTTGCTCCTTTGGATCCCCAGGATCAGTGCTGCCTGGTCCTGGTCACTTATTAACAACCACTTTTTCTATTTGACCTTATCCCTCCTGTTACCTAGTTACTTCGCTTATTTTCCTTTACTCCTGTTACCTTTATATGCTATGTTACCTTTGTACTTCTGATAGCTCTGGCTCCTCCAGCTGATCGACTGCACACTGGCACATATATGAAGCTCCCCAACAGCTTCAGCTATAAAAGCAGCCACAAAGATATCACTGACCTTCTCTGCTACATCCCCATCTGCCCCTTTTATACCCTTGTCATCAGCGTTCCCACTGATTTCCTAACTACCTTTGTGGCTTTGATGTATTTCAAGAGCCTTGTATCAGCAGCAAGGCAATTTATGGATTCTTATTTTTAGCCCTGTTTATTTCCTTTTTAGTTGTAACCTGACATGTTTTATGGATTTCCCTGTTCTTAGAGCACTTTGGGCTTTTAGGGTTGGGTTTGGGGATTTTTTTGACTAGTTGCTGTAAAAATCAGTATCTTCAGCTCATACCCCAAAACCTGGAAGAGGTCAATTTAATCATACTGGGAACCCTTGGTAAGCAAAGCTGCTCCATCCACAGACACCAGACACAAGGCTTGGAAGTGGAGAGCATTACTGTGCTAAAAATGAACAGGTGAAGGGTGGAAAATGGGGATAAAATAGCAAAAACCAGCTAGGGACAGTCATGTTCACAATGGCACCTGCCTGAATCCCTTCAGCCTTCACCTGAGTTTCTCTAAGCGCTCTCCATACTGGGGGTTTCTGTTGGGGAAGCCATTCCTACCAAGGAGGTGAACACTTCTTGCTGGAGGAGAGGTTCATTTTCCCTTACCTCTGTCCCTCTGGTTGTTAGGAGTGCTATTGTTCACCCTGAAAAGAGCCGGCGGTCAAACTCACAGTACAAAAGAAATGAAAAGTAAGGCCTCTTGGTCTGTAATAGCGTCTTACCTCCATTATTGACTCTTACTTGTTTATGCCTCCAGCCTGGCACATCACATGCAGGATCTCTGTAAAAACAGTCTCATAAAGGAAAAAAGGGTGATTTTCACCAAGAGATAAACAGAAAAAATGCAAAGTGCTTCCTGCTTTCAGGCCTGAAAGGTGCTGCCTTTCACATGCTAGTTTGGATGCTAGGCTTTGCTGGTGAGGGTGTGGATGCAGAGTTTTAGGTCTCAGTTTTCAGGCTGGTTTCAGATATAAGCAGTGCTAACAACAGCAACCCCACCCATTCTTACCCCACCATCCCATTACATTCCTGTGGTGCAGCTCCTCTAATGCAGCTGCCCAGACTCAGGTTCTTACCCCACTACCATCCCCAGCACCATATCCTTCCCCTCCCAACCCACATTGCTTGAGTATGCTTGGGTGTATCCAGAAAAAATGTAGAATGGCATGTGGCTGAAGCTATCCAAATATCCCCATACAAGTACATGTTATAACCAGGCAAACCTCTACCCCAACTCCTTTAGCACTGTTTAGCACAACCTGTGCAGATGTGCCAAGCAATTACACTCTCTAGAGTAATTTTTGGTCTAGGACAAAAGTAGGTGGCAGACTTGAGTGGCAGCACCTTTCCACCTCCTCTGCAGGTCATGTGCCAGCAGGACACTCTGCATCTCAGGGACACCCCGCATCTCAGGGAAGAAGATGGGTGGGAAGATCCAGGATGTGAAACAAGTGTGGCAGATCCCTGGAGCCTCTCAGCCTGCAGGCATGTCCTCACTCAAACAGATGGATGAAGGTTGCACCCAGATCCCTTTTCCATACCTGGTTGGATTTTGAAGGATGGACAGCTGAAAGAAAGCATGAACCAAGCAGCAGCAGTCATAAAACACTACAAAGAGCTGTTTTCCATTATCACATTTCCCAACAGAATCACACACTGTTAATAGCCAAAGAGAAGTGAAATATCTGAAAGCTTGCCCTTTCAGTACAGAATTCCAGTCCAGATAAAATAACTGTATCAGTCTTTGAAATGCTAAAGAGTAGTAGGCTCCCTGTGGTATCTGATAGCCCCTCCCTAGCATGGGCTAAATGAGACCTGCTTGCAGTAGCGGAAATTAGCTTTGAATTAGAGCAATGAAAATTCCAGCGCAGCTAAATGACACACACACCTGACTATTTTTGCTGCTTTTATTATCAGTGGCAGCAAATATCTGGATATCACACCCTCAATAAAGTTTTACTGCATTTAAGTTTCGTTTATCATTGAGCTTTCAGCTACATTTCCAATCTCTATTGCTTTGCAAAAGAATAGGAGATAACACTTAAAGGCCTTTTCATGTGCCTCTGTAGCAGGCTACTGTTACTTGTATTTTATGGGTCTTCTGCCCTGAGTGGATGGAACCAGACCATTTACTTCAATGAAAAACCATGATGACCCATCTGGTGGGCTGCTATCTCTTGATATAGAGAAATCTATTTGACTCCATGTAACCCCAAGTTTCACTCTGCCATATAAAGAAGGGGAGGAGGGGGTATTCCAGCAAAAGCAGCCAGCTGAAGGAAGTAGAAGACTACACTCAGGTTCATGACTTTTTGCCAGTTCCTGTCTATATCCCGCCCATTTTCCAGTGTCTCACGCCGTGCAAACTCCCTGGAGTTTGCATGAGGTTAATGGAATGCTGCTGGCAGCAGAACCTTTTCCTGCTGCTGAAAAATCAGAGAAAAAGGGGAAAAGGAGAGGACTTAACAGAAGTATTAGAAGCTGGGAGAATCTCCTTCACCTGGGTTATGGTGGAGACACACAGGGCTCAAAGAAAAAGAAGGGGGCATTAGCCATGTATTAAACTGTTGGGGAAGGGAGCCAGTCCCCCTTGCAGGGCTTTATCAGCTGGAGGAAGGATGGGGCCTCTGCCTCTTGTGGTAAGTGTAGCCACCATGCCTTGCTTTGCTCCTCACGGCTGAGTAGTCCCAGAGGAAAAGTCAAGAAAATAAGACCGAATCTCTACCCTCCTTTGAATAAGGTATCATGACTAGCCAAATCCAGGTAGCCCTGCTCACATGGAGTAAAGGTTACCATAAGCATGTTGAGATGCTTATGGTAACTCAGATGGTGGGCATTGGCTAATGCCATCAGAAGCTACAGACCCTGCCGATGGCAGACACTGTGCAGCCAGGTGACAGCAGCAGAGGGGACAGGAGTCAACGGGAAGAAAGAAACAGTGAAAGCCCAGGAAAACAACAGAGACAAAATGGCATCTTTTCTCACCAGTCTACTTCTGGAAAGCAGAGTCTACCTTCTTTTGCTAGAAAAGCCACATGAGAAAGATCAGGACTATTTAGTTATCAGTTTTCAACTGCAAAAATTAGGAGCTAGTTTTGATCATGGAGAGCATGCATCTGCACGGACATCCTGGTAACCTTTACAGCCACATACACTCAACCACTGACCCCCAAACTTGTCACTTAAGCTGAAAGATGCTTCTTTTTTCAGCTGTGTGCCATTAGCAGCTGCCATTAAAGAGAGCAGCTTGTCCAGCATTTTCAAAGGAGATCCAGCTGCATTAACTACCCAGTTCCCACTGAAAACAACCGCTGAAAAGTGGTGCCAGTCTTACAACAATAAATATTTTAACTTCATTATGATTTAATAACATTTCTGATCAGAACCGCTGAGTAAAAGCTGGATGCTGATGTAACCAGTCTGTGCACACTTGTGTCTAAATTCAGCACAAATTTTAACATAAAATAGTCTCCAGAGTTATAAAAAACCCACTTACACCACTGGGAGCAACATAAGGAAGCCTTGGTACTGAGAAAAAATAATGTTTAATAGGAAAAGTTAATCTGCATATATAAGATCCAAAACAGAAAATATGACAGAATTAAATGATGTTTTAAATGAATGTGAACTATAAATATATGTACATATGTGTGCTTATATATATATAAAGGAAATGTTAATGCTAGCCAATAGATAATGCACACTCGGTAAAATGTGAATTCTTTTACAGATAGATTTACTGACCATATGTAAGAAATCAGGGGGAAAAAAACCCAAACACCAGCCTTAAGATCATTCAAATATAAAGAGGAAAAAAAATCTAACACTTTCCACAGGAACTGAGAATGTAAAATCAATGCAGTTGGGCAGCAAGGAGAACAAAGTTGTTTGTTTGAAGATATTGTTTCTTGCCATTTTATTGGGAAGGAAGGCTGTGGAAAAGGTCAGACAAGTGCCATTGTCTTACACAACACATGTCAGCAGAGATCTGAACAGAATGCTTTCAGATAGGAAATACTGGGGGGTTGAGGAGGGTAAAAAAGACTGTATCTGCTATAGTAAGATGAAACAGGGTAGCGTCTCATGAGAAACAGTTTTGATCTGCCCAAAGCCTTAGTTGAAATTGAGTGAGCACAAATAAAGGTAAAGCTCTGGGTGCCAACATTTTTCAGCATCATACATACTGCCTGGACCATCTTCCAGAAGAACTGAAAACCAGCAGGATTAAAATCCTGATATCTTGTATACGCTCACTCTCTTGCCAGTGTACTGGCCTTCTCAAAGAAGTCTAATGTTTATTGGAGCTCATTAGTTTTTTTAAAAGATATCTTCTTCTCCCTATCCCCTACTACATTTTCCTCTTATTTCAGAGTTGTCCATGATCTCTTTCAAGCGGTGTTCTTCTTTTAGAAAATCTTGAGAGAATCTGGGGCCAAGGACTTTGTTGTCTCCTCTGCTGAAGTAACTGCATTGGTGAGAGGCTGCGAAACTCTTTGGTCTGACCCAGTGTTGCGGTGGTCGGCGGTGCTTCTACTGCTCTTGTCACTTAGTATCTGCTCTGCATCCTAAAGCCCCCACGCTCCCGTGATGGTTCGTACTACAGAGAATTTAGACAAGAGGAGAAGAGAAATAAGGAGTAGCTCTGGGTCAGAAAGTTCCTTTCTCAGAAGAGTTCAGCATGTAGCACACTGCATGTGAGAGCCCCTTCACCAAGATACACCAACCCTCAAGGAAAACCAAACAGGCAGACTTGAATCAGTGAGAAGTAGACACCTTTGAAAAGTTAGAAATGCCCAAATTCATGCAAATCTGACCAATCAACTAACTACTTAGATGTTTTTCTTCTCTTAATTGGCAGCTTTTTAAAAGCTGTTGTTTTTTTTAAACATCAGATATCCGGGTTGCTCCTGTCACGGTTTAGACCTCAACTCTGCAAAACATGTAAATGTATTACAATTAAACAGATTTTCTTCACTAAACAGGGACATTTTCTTTCACCACAGAGGTGGAGCAAAAATGTCATTTCAACAAGATTTGAACATACAGTGCACTTCTTATTTACTTGATTCCTGTTGAACCCAGCAAATTAATCATATCATAGCATACACTTCTCAAGGCCCAGCTTCCTCTACAGCTCCCTTGCAGAATTCAGGGATAAAACAGGCATTTTTTTTAGAACACGCCTTCCAGCTAATGACACACCTCTACTGACCAGGCTCCTCTGGGCTATAGCAATGCAAAAGCTTCTTCATGGCATTTCACACTTTGCTCCTTTGCAGTGCTGCAGCAGCTGCAGAGGCTCTTGCTGTGAACAAAGCTGCAGCAGAGCAGGTGGGAGGACACCGACCCTCTGGGCAGCTGTCCCAGCTTAAACTGTCTGTAAATCTTGCATGATGCTGCAGCTGGGAAATGCCACTGCAGCACCTGTTGACTCCACAACTGGCTTAAAAGAAGCACAGGTGGTAACAGCCTGTGATGGTTGCAGGCACACCTGTGGTGAGGAATGTTTGGACGGTGCAGTCAAATGTCCTATGACACAGCAGACCCCTGAGCAGCCAAGCTGTTGCTTTGGCCATTGCTTTTCACTTGTGACTCAAGGATGACTACTGGGACTTTAGAGAGATCTTTATGAGTTGAGTGCTGATCTCTGTATTAAGGCAAAGTTTTTCAGCTGCAGCTACAGTTGTTTGGATGCCTTAATACCACTGTGGCCTTCTAGATCAAGGGAGGATGGACAAAGTGAAGTTTGGGTTCCAGCAGTGTTTGTAGCCCACAATACTATGCTCATCTCTACGACTTACTCTCTAGACCCTTCACCATGCAATTCCCACAGGTCTATGTGAAACACTTACCAAATCATCATAACCCCTCTCCAAAAAATGACCTCTATTTGTGGAAGGCATCTCATATGGGTTGTTTGGCTGATATCCTGGGTTTGCATGGCCAGAAGTGGTCTGGACTCTGGGGAATGTTATGCTTGGTCTGTCATCAGAGGTATCTGTGTCGGAATATCCTGAATTTATCAGCCTCTTCTTCTCTGGATTTTGTTTGTGTTTGGCTCTTCAGAGGAAATGAAAGAACAAAGGAGGTTTTAAAAGACCATTTAGTGTGCCTTAATTATTAAGTAAGTCAAACTTATTGAGTTCTCCACTCCCACCTTATTTTGACTTCTCAGTCCTGTTCTGAAACTCGCAACTGATTTTTGTAGCGTGCCTACTGCATAACCCTTGTTATCATTGTTATAATTGTTATTATTGTATAAGAGTACAAAGTTTGGCTTCTTTTCTCACAGGTGAGGCAAAGCTGCCAGGAGAGACAGAGGGGGACTTTACCCTCTTTCAGCTAGTTCTTAGAGTAAAGGAGTTTCTTTCAACCGCCACTAGCTCTAACTGACTATCCAGAGGAAGAAATGAGGCATTCATTAGATTCAGTTAAGAAAAGGTGCCCTCATGCCTGTAGCCAAAGCTGGACACACACACTTGGCATGAGCTTGTGCACCTGCTGGTGAGCAGTGTCTGCTGCGGGTGGTCTTGTAGGCATCTTTACTTGGGTAGTGCTGGGAGCAAAGGCAGAGGAGCTGCTTGACTATTTATTGTGTGGAGAGAAGTGAGGAGGTGCAACTGCAATCAGACATTTGCCAGTACACCAGGAATAGCAAGCTTTAAGGAGATGCTTGGCTAAAAATGACACCTGTATTGAGCTGAAAAGGCCATGCCAGACCTTGAGCTAAAGTGTGAGCAGGGAAAGCTGCAGAGGGTCTGAATTTGGGCCACACATTCTTCTGATATCAGCATCCTTCTTCAGTCTTATCCAGATGCCATAATCAATACTGGCTAGGGCAGGATTATGACTCATGGATCAGCTGTGTATTTTGAAGACTCAATTGAAGCTTTCATAGCTGAATTCACAGCAAGACAATAAATGCTTCTTGGAAAAGCACATAGGTAAGAGCAAATTCTGATGACTGTATGGCTTAAATAAACATGTCTGCCCAACTAGGCCTGCAACCTCATCCACAGCCCTGCTCCTCTCTAAATTTCTGCTTAGTTCTCTATGAACGTGCAGCAATGCAGCTTCAATTATAAGAAATACTCTTACCTTACTGAAATTACAGAGACTGCTATCACTAAACTCAGGATAATGGCTCCAAAAATTGTACCCACTATTATAAGGATGAGTTCAGTGCCTGCGGAAAATAAAAACAGCAAACAAAAACCATCAATTGATCAATTGAAAACTCATGGTGAATATTGAAAAACAAGTTCTGTATCTGTCCGGAAAGAAGGAAGGAAGGCAGGAAGGAAGGAAGGAAAATATGGAAGATGTCATTTATTCCCAGGCTCCTTGTGCTTACAACTGTCTGTGGGCACAGGAAGATGTAAATTAAGGATCTGCATTACAGACCATCTCTTCTGAATGCTATTTTGATCACAGCTCAAGTTCCTGATACCATGCACTGAATGGTTTTACACATAGTTATAGCTGAGGGACAGGAACAACTAAGAGGGTGCAGGGATTCTTAAGCTAGTATTGCTGCTAAAATGTGTAGTTAGGTATCAAACAGGCTCTTTGCATGCCCTAAGCATATAAGGCATAAGATAAATTTCACTCCTTTTTTTTCCCTAACATTTCCCTGCTGTAAGTGCAGAACAAAGGCATGCCTAAAGGCTGCTACTTGTAATTTTTTTTATTTCAGACAGATTAAACATTACCAGATATTTTTCCACATTATAATTAAAAATCAGAAATTCTTATACTTACTGTCAGTGCAGTTGTCCCCAGAATAGCCCACTCGACAACTACAGGAGATAAAAAAGGAAAAGAGGAAGGAAAGAAAAGATAATGTCATTAAGCAGATGATTTTTAAAGTCCTTTCTAACCAAACCATTCTATAATTCTATGATCACAAAACAATAGTATATTTCCCCCTTTTATCTGTAATTTCACAGCAAGGTGAGTTCATTACAGGTTTCCTCTTAATATTGAATTCTTTACTTTCGTTAGAGTAAAACAATCTGAGATTTTCAGAATGTTTGGTGATCTGGACACTCAAAGTTTCAAGTTCTTAGTCTGAAAAACGTTAAAAAGACCTAATTTTTCCCAAGAACTAAGCTCTGCACCTCTAAGCCACTGTCTTTATCAAAAGCCTCAACATAAGGTCTGTAAGGACTGGGCGCTCTATATCTTCCTTCCATACTAGTTTCTTATATTTGAAATATATCAACTTTATGGCAAGAAGTGTTCAGTGTGCAGCAACAATAACTACAAAAAGAGCTGAATTAATGGACATGGGGAGTAGGGTCCCCCTGCTTATTCACCAGAGCAGAGCACAACCAGTCACTTACTCAGCTTCACCATTCTGCTCTGATCCTGAGCTGACAGAAATACCCTCAGAGAGAAAACCAAGATGAAATAACATAGGTCTGAAAGTTATCAGGAAACAGTCCCCACTGAAATCAGTGGAAACATTCCAGGGATTTGATGCATCTTGCTCTAATGCCTGTTGCTTACTAAACACTTCAGCATACCAGTTCCCACGGTCCAGTTACTCTGAGTTTGTGTTTATGTAGTGAAGTAGTTTATCCTCTTCACTGACTCATGGGTGACCCTGGGCCTCCTTGGCTTTCCTCTCAGGTATTACGAGTGACCACAAAAGACTAATGCCAAGCAGTAAAAATGCCATAACTTGGGACACAATGGGAATTTGTCCACCGGTGAACCACCTAAGGCACCTCTCTGATTCACACAGCTACAGCCTGTTCCTCTAGACTGTATCTGACCCTGTGTTAGATGTCCCTCTCCCCTCTCTTTGCCTAGAACACAGGAATGCAATAAAAGGCTTAATACTCACGGTACGCATTTTCCATCTCTCTCTTCAAAGTTAGTCATACATTTGCATTTTGGGATCCCTCCTTCTATTGCACAGTATCTGTTTGCTTGTGCAGAACAACTTTCACTGCAAGCTGTATTTTCAGGGGGAAAAAATATGAGTTAATTGAAGATAGCACCCCCCAAATCAATGTTAAAGGTAGCCCTTCTCCCCCTTTTTTTTTATTGCACTGAAAACACACACAACTCTCTCATTCTTCAAAGCACCAGAATGGCTTTTTTAGTACTATACCTATATAGAATAGAAACTGAAATACGAAAGTACAAAATTAGAAGTAAACTGGCTTTGTTTAAAACCATTCAGCTTCATCAAAAAGGAAATCTATCTAGGCTGCATCTAACATAGGCAAGCAATGACCTGCAGTTTGATCTGACAGCAGATAATTTGTATTGCAACTGATCTAAAACTGGATCAGATTTAGACAGGTTAAGACAGGTTAGGGGCCACAAAGGCCTACACTGGATCACATCTCACTGGGCTTTATTGCAGCCAGCTTTCATAATTTTATTATGAGTGTTTGAAATATTTGTTGGGTTTTTTTAAATCTCATATCTTAGAATTTTTTTAGTTTCTGTAGTGTAAAAATTTTAGTTTCCATAAGAAGAAAATAAGGTACATCTCAGGGCTTTGGAGGACAGCTAAAAATATAAACAGAGTACCCATTAAAACATTCAAAACTGTACAGAAAGTAAACCCCCAACGACTAACAGTTCCTAAAAGTCACAGAAATCATTCTTCCCACAAAAACCTGTCTAAATCCAGGTCATGCAAACCTAGAACTATGAACAATGAACAGGTCGTTGTAGTGCATCCTGAGGGTTCTAGTTCTGTCAGCATTCCCAAAGCTGCCTTTAAGTAGCATGCAGAATTTATTCCCAAAATATGTACTAGCAGAGAAGGCTGTGAATATAGGATTCAATTTGCTCCATCCTTCACCTATTTAGGTTTCAGTTCTTACCAAGAGTCTAACAATGCATTTAAAGAATTGCCCACTCACTGCTTTCAGTGATGATTTTATCAAGCTTTAGTAGTTTATTTTACTGGAATAGAATTATGGATATGTTCAAAGTGAAATGTGAAAATGTGTTTCTATGGCTTTCTTAATAAGACACACATTCCCTGATTTTTAGAGGTCAGCACAATTGCACTGCATCCTTTTTCAACAAGGGACTGAGACAGGGAATAAGCAGGTCAGACTTTCAGGGATAGATAAAGTAGCAAGGTTCTTACTTGAACAAGAACGATCATCCTGGTTAATCTTTTCTAAACCACTTTTGCATTTGCATTCTGGAAACGGGTCTTCTACGCAGTCTGTGGTTTGAGTATCACATTGAAACACATAACATTTCGTTGCCTCTTTAAAAGAGAAACAGGGAGCAAACCTGAGTACTAATAATATTTCATGGAAAGCAGTGCACTTGCTCAGTAAATCATAAACCGATTATTTAGTAATTCTAAAGAAAAAAAATTTATGAGTTCTTTTCCTGGGACATCAATACTGCAGGTTTTTGGACCAGCCACTCCTTTTCCCTTGCTCTTTACCAGTTAAGGTCCTGTTTCCATCATACATTCTGACTTCCTTTTTCTCAGCCTCCTGCAACTGCCTCCAAACCTTCCTGACTTCCAGTCTATGAAAAGGGAAATTCTACCTGTAAGTTCATATTCTGAACACTGGATTTCTGACTTACCTTGAAAAAAACCCTACAGAAAAAAACCATCACTATTCCCTTAGTTTTTTCCACAGCTGAACTGTGAGGCCCAGATCCCATACAGCTCTACATAGATATAAATATTTATGGGCAAGCAGCTCATTTCATGAGCAGTGTTAGTATCCTTTTTGCCCAGTACATTGCTCTTTAGATCTATGGATCTATGACCCAGTGGTGGGAATGGTTTAGAAACCTCAGTGCGTGGCACACATTAGAGGGATGTGCTGGTGCTTTGCAAGCTCTCAGGTTTTTTCTATTTCCCTCTTGCATTTAGGAACAGCACACAAGAAATGTCATGGTTGAGGTGGATATGGTCACCTCCAGAGACCAAGCTCAGACTATAAGCAATGAAATGAACACTTCTAATTATTAGCTATACCTTGTGAGAAAGCTGGTTTCAAAATAGTATCATATTTAAAAAAAAAGAAAAAGAGAGAGACACAGAAAAAATCCATAGTTTATTTAGGAAATCATTCTCTAAGTAATTTAGTAAAGCTAGAATTTACTGGTTTAGATCAATGAATCACTTAGCTCTGCAGCTGATCAGTGAGGCCTTATTTCAGTTACCATAGCTAATTACAGAAGTCTAAAGAGAGTTTCATCCTATTTTTCCAGTAAAATACTGACTTACTCTCAGAAGGACGATATATGTCTGTATATATTTTATCCTGATTTTTCCCACCACTTAACACTTAGCAGGTTAAAATCACCATGCCGTTGCTTACTTGGGAATAAGTATTTTCCTTCTCTTCTTTACACAGGAAGTAGAAAGCCTTAATAAGACAAAAAAGCCTAGCACTGCATGGTTGAATCTTCAAAATTACACAAGATAGAACATTAAGCTCCTTAAAATCAACAAGGCTTATGCTTTGATGGGCTTTTATGCACACAGAAATCCTCCAACCAGGTCTGAAGATAGGAACCTCTGTTTCTGCTGATTATTTACTTCCACAGTAAGGAGTTACCTACCTTTATAAAAAGAGACATAGGACGGATTTTCTTTTATCGCTTGTTCTACTGCAAGAGAAACTGATTCATTATTCACACCTGAGTTCTCCTTAAATAGGTTTATCACTGTTACATTCATTTGAGAAGCAGTTCTGGTTTCTTCTGAAGGTCTGAAAAGTACAGATAGTTCCATTTAAAAGTTTCATATAATCCATACAGATAGCAAAGATGAGAAATTTTCTGCCAAATCTCCCTCTCCCCTAGCTTCTTTCTTCCCATAGCGTAGGTAATTGCCAAGACACCTGAAAATGAGTTTAAGTGTAGCTTAGAAATACGTTAACAGCCATCTTTCTAGTAGATCCAGATATAAATAGGTAGTTGTCGGATTTAATGCCTACAGCATTGCTCCTTCGTGTGCTGTTGACACACAGCTGACATTTTTTAACTGAGCTAACCTTAAGTTAGCTGCAGTGTGGAGGACCTTATCTGTTAAGCCCTAACTTTCACATGCTTGCATCAGCCGGTGGTGTCATCCAGGCATGATGTGGAGAACCCTTCCTGAAGCATGGTGAGGATAATTCAGGGTATGACCATAGTGAATTCAGGAGGGTCTGTTTGCAATGCAGAGGTGTCTATGCCAACTGCGCACTAGCTGGGCTGGATTCAGCTGGACATCAACCTCCCTGGGGTGAGGTGGAGAACAGCAGTGACTACCCTGTTCTTCAGTTAAACTTCATGCTGCTGGGATATGCACACAAATATCTTTAAGTGGCAGATTGCTGTAGTGCCTTGAGATGTTACTATGCCCTGTGTGTTTGTCACAACTGCTCTGTTGGAAGTTACTACCCTCACAACTCTGCTGGAACAACACTCTGCGTAACTGCTTAGTCCATGGGGTTCACTGAAAGGGCTTACGCTGCTGTGTGTGCTACCGTGCCAGGCTTTGCTTGATGTGGTTTAGGAACCACTCACAAAGAAGCTGGCAGAGCTCTGGGGACAGTAACCACTAACAGATGGGGATGGGAAGAGAGGGATATCTCACAGTGTCCTTCTAGACCAGCAAATGACCTATTTCCACAGCTCATTCATTCAACCTGCCATCAGGAGAGACCAACAAGTGCAGAGTGAGATGCATTTTGTATGCCTTCTGTAATAAGGGTGTTTTTTAAATTAATTGGGAGTCCGAGCTGGATCTCCAAGTGTTCATAGGAACCTCAGAGTTAACTGTTACAATTTCAGATATGTCAGATATCACAGGGGACTGCTAGTTATAGCATAGTGCTATATCCTACATGGTGCTAAAAGTGGGACATCCACAGTGGAGCTGTGTCAGCCAGCCCACTTCACAGACATTTTGGGGGAAAAATGGGGCCAGCATCCCAGAAACCTTAAAAATATGAAAAGAATGTCCTTCTTTAAGGGAAAGCCACCTGAAGGGAACTCATCCCATATCTTTTATTGAACCGAGTATTCCGTGGGAAACAGATTAAAATGGGGTGTGTGGGAAACACGTACTGTGCAAAAAACAAACCGGCAAACTTACTGAATGTCCACAATGACTGTCTGTACATAGTCCGATAAACTTTTGAAGGCCTTTTGAAACTACAAAAAAAGAAATGAATCGTGGTGAAAGGCAAGCAGAAACATAGACCAAAATCACGTGAACCACTGAGGCTTCAGCTGTAAAGTTTTAATCCAGAACATGCTACTACAGGCACAAATAAAGCAAGCTGATCAGTTGCATACACTGGCAAGGTGTTGCAGAAGAGGAGTAGTGGGGTGGTGCTGCAGAATATGGGAGGACAGGGAATATGGGAGAGCAGTGGAGGGATGGAGATTGAATGTCAGGCAGTGCATTAGGATAGCTGGACTGGACTGGACTGGCTGGATAGCTACAAACACTCTCTTGCAAACTCATTGCTTAGGAGGGTGTCTCCTAAGCAGTACCAATCTACGAGAGAGAAGAGGGAGAAGTAGGCATCCTTCCAGATGGCACGTGTCCCTGAGATGCAGTGAAATGGGATCATAAGGGGCTGATCTTGTGGGGAGAAGCACAGCACTGATGAAAGCACCGGGAGTGGAATGGAGTCAGTAGAAAAGTCACTGCTCTCCCTCATCCCATGTGAAGCAGGGAACAACTAGTGGTGGCAGCTACCTTCAACTGCCACACAAGCAAGAGACACCACGAGAAAAAGATAGGATGTCTAATTCAACTGAAATGAAAGCTAAACTATCCTTTTCAATAAAATTAAAATAATTTTCTATTCTATTTTCACTTTTGCATTCTATTACTACAGTATGCCTATTCTAGTCCTACATATCATGCTCTTCTGTTGCCATCCCATGAACAAATGCTGGACAAAAAAACTGAGGAAAATATTTTTAAACATTCTGGAGGAACAATTTTTGGTCACTTTCTGATAAAACATTCACAGGAAGCAATATAATAACAGGCAGAAATTGATAATCAGTTTTGATGATTTCTGATTAGTATCAGGTGAATATTTTTTGATCAGATGTCTAGTAGAGGTGCATATCTCTTCTTCCTTACTACCAGAAAGAGACATAAGCAAATCCACTTGTTTCAACATGGCAGTATAAATTAAAGTGTTCATCTTATTTTTCCAGGAAATCATTTACCAGATTTTATGTACAATCACAGAATTCTCAAAATGTGTAGTATCCATTTAATTAACAGCATTAAAATACTAATACTGGTAGGCTTATGGAAGAGGCTTGTTATTCAGATATTTAGAAACAGCTGAACAGCCATTCTGAAAAGTTTGTGCTGTCTGGAAATTATAATTTTCTTAAAAAAAAAAATTGTTCATTTTTACTCATACCCGCCGAGTATTGTTGAGCCTCCAGCAAACAGTGGAGTTCAGAAACTCAATAGGCTGGACAACTTCACTCAGCCCCATTGTTTCTGGAGAGGGACCAGTGAAAGATAGAGAGCAATTTATGTGAGAACTCCCCAGAATGAAAATGGTATTAAAAATGCAGACATTACTTAAATCAGGTATTTCCCTGAGGGCAAAATTCAAGTCTTTTACAAATAGGTCTAAACTAGTATGAAGAGTTCTTCGAAAGAAGTAGTTTTCTCAAGTGAAACTCTTCTAAGCTCCATATTAAAGGCAATGTGTGTCCTCTCTGTCTGCATAACACCCAGTACAACATGAAATATACAGAAAAAACCCAACATTGTCACTCACAAATTCTGATACACCATTGAACACCTCTTCATATGCTGCGGAATTCACAGTTTCAACACTCTCACTGTAGGATCCATTCACACTAATGACCCCTGGGTATACTTCCCCTGAAATGAGAAGAGAGAATATAAGTTAGAAAGCATTCAAGAAAGTCAAGTTTCACCTTAGAGTTCTCCAGCTTTCAGTGATGGGGAAATACAATGCGGAAAACAACCATTGCTATTTTTCATATGCTGGAGGGATCAGTAGGGGACAAATGTTTGCTCAATCAATTTAGTCACAATGGGGGATTTACTCTGGCTACCTGGGAAGAAGGCAGGATCCTGGGCTCAACCAAATTGTCCTGTTTATGAAACTGAATAACATTAAACTGTCAGTATAGCCTGAAATGAAAAGTCTTTTTGTGAGGTGTTACAACATTTAATGAGAAAATATGTATATTAAGGACTCCAAAATTGCAGCTAAGGAGCTAACATGGTTCAACATATCAGAGAAAGTGATTCAGTATCAACCTGCTTCTTAGGCCTCACAAGTAAATTTCAGAATCTTGCTTGCTGGCACTTAAAATAAGAAGCCCTATTTGCTCACACACTTGGCCTTCAGCAGCATCTCAGAGATGCATTTCAACAGGACTGTGACGAGTGTTGATGGGGAAATCAATCTGGTTGTTCAGAGGTCTTCATGAGTTTGGACCTTTTAAATCCTCACAACTGATATCGATGTCAGGTTTATACTTGCATTTTTTCCTGCTTTTCCCTCATTTCAATCTCCAGCACCCCTGACAGAGAACTCACCTTTTCCTAGAACCTTAACATCTTTGGCCCTCACTCTTTTGTGAGATAACAATCTAGGTCATTGTAGCAGTGGCTGTCCGCAAAGCAAGGAATTGCTGAGCAGTCACTTTCCCAGATTGATTATGTTTTCAGTTATAACATGAAAACAAGGGATATGGGAAGAAAAATTCACCTGAACAGGCAACTAAAAACATAGATGCCCTTCTGCAAACTCACCTCTGTAACAATTCTTATCCTCCTTGCTATAGTAGAATCCATAGTCACACTGGCAGGTATAAGTGCTTTTTAAAGAAACACATTTAGCAAAATTTCTTCCACAAGGGTCTGAACTGCAGAAGTTCTCTGACACAAAGATGACAGATATTGATGTTAGTATTTCTATGAAATTGCAATAGCCAGTTCGTATGTAAAGTAATTCATATATTGAATAGTTCATGTGTACTTCTACTAAAGGAATCTACCAGGTATGTTTTAGAGAGTACAGATGCAATTACAGAGCACACAGCTGTATCTTGCTTGCTTAATGTTCATATAGTACCTGTTTTCCCTATACAATTCAGCAGGATATCACAGTGGGGACTCACTGTATGGCTGAATTTCATTATCTGTCATATTGAGCATTCACAACTCAACTCAATACAACTAAAACCAAATCAAACAAAGAAAGTATATCAAGGCTTGCCAAAGTCAGTGACTATTAGAAAAAGGTAGACTACAATAGCCCGTGAGACTTTAATACTACAATGGGCATGTCTTGGCAGGGATCCTCTCTCAGCCAGGCCTGGTGCAGGAGGCAAGGGCAGCAAGCAGGAAAAGAGTAGCCTTCTCGAATCTTCCCCAACACTTGCTCCTTGAGGCAAAGAGCAGCAGGGAAATGGGTGAGAGTTGAGGGTATTATGGCTTTGATCTGGGCACCTTTGTCTCCCCTGGGAGAGGATCTCAGGGAAATCTGGGCACAGGCACTCATCCCTCTCTGAGGACGCTTCAGAGCTCCCTGGGATTCAGTTCCTCCAATCTGTGCCCAGAAGGAGCCGCCTGAAGAGATTGCTCCTTACCTGGATTATTTGTGGTTGTATTCACTGATGGGGCAACCGTTGGTTCAGTTTCATTACTGCTTCCTGATGAAGAGAAAAGAAGAAACATGGCAGCACTGCTTGGCATTCTCTGTTGGAAAAGCTTTGGGGAACTCTGTGCCTGCAGGACAAGCTCTGAGCACGTAGGTGGTTGGGGAGCCATGAGGGGCTGAGCAGCCAAAGCCGTGAGCAGCCTTGCCCTGCCTTTGGGCGCTCCCTGCGTGTGGTGCCTGTGTCATCTGATGTGTGGATGAGGGCATTGAGCCTACCATTATCCAATTAACAGATGACACCAAGTTGCGGGGGGGTGAGTGCCAATCTGCTGAAAGGCGGGAAAACTCTCCAGAGGCACCTGGATAGGCTGGATTGGTGGACCAAATCCAGTAGTATGGGGTTCAACAGGACCAAGTGGTGGGTCCTGCACTTTGGCCACAACAACCCCATGCAGCGATACAGGCTGGGGCAGAGTGGCTGGAGAGTGGCCAGGCAGAAGGGGAGCTGGGGGTTCTGAGTGACAGGAAGCTGAACATGAGCCAGCAGTGTGTGTCCAGGTAGCCAAGAAGGCCAATGGCAACCTGGCCTGTACCAGGAATAGTGTGGCCAGCAGGACCAGGGAAGAGATTCTTCCCCTGTACTCAGCGCTGGTGAGGCCACACCTCGAGTACTATGTCCAGTTCTGGGCCCCTCAGTTCAGGAAGGATATTGAGGTGCTGGAGCAGGTCCAGAGAAGAGCAATGAGGCTGGTGAAGGGACTGGAGCACAAGCCCTCTGAGGAGTAGCTGAGGGAGCTGGGGTTGTTTAGCCTGGAGAAGAGCAGGCATAGGGGAGACCTCATCACTCTCTACAACTGCCTGAAAGGAAGTTGCAGCCGGGTGGGTATCAGTCACTTCTCCCAGGCAACCAGCAGTAGGACAAGTGGGCACAGTCTAAAGCTGTGCCAGGGGAGGTTTGGGTCAGACATGAGGAAGAAGTTCTTGACAGACAAAGTGATTGGATCGTTCCTCTGAAAGTTCGAGTCATTGACGATGC